GGGGGGGGGGGGGTCCCTCTCCTGGATCCGCCACTGGAAAGTTGCCTCGCCGAAGGTGGCTAGGGCACGCAGGTGACCCTTCTTACCGGGCCTATTTATAGTAAAGACCCTTAGATGAACTCAACAACGAAGACTCCCACAATGTGTTTCCTAAGGGAAAAAAAAATAAACTCCTTAACAGAGGACTAGAAGACCAGAAGTCAGTTGAGATTTTCACGGAGGAGTATGTCCTCGTATTACCGGTGATTATCTGGGAATGTGGGAAAATTGAGTTTTCACGCAGGTGGAGTTCGGAAAATAGTGCCTACCTCTAGAAAAATCCTGGCTACGCCCCTGCTGTAAAGGAGAGACAACCTCAGGCCTTTCGGTTTTCCTTGTTTGACACGGTCGAATATAATAACCCCTTGATTGGCAATGTACATTACAATAATATTGCTAACTCTACCAGCCCTGTTGGGCACGGCTGTAAGCAAAAGCCCATCAAATGATGGGCTCCTGCTGTAAGTTATCCGCTTCCGGTCCGGGTTACATTCGACAAAGCTCGAAGGAGACGCGAGATGCTGACCATAAGGATCGCAGCTCTAGACCCGTTTTACTGGCGCGTGGAAAGTTCGCGTGGAGCTTCTAGTGTGTTTCGCGGTCTTTTTCTTCTTTTTAACGTTTGTAGATCACCCGGGTAGGTCATCAGCGGTGTTAAAGCTTAAAGGTAAGAATGTTTCTTTTTAACCCTCACAGCGGCAACCAATGCAAATTTCCACGACTTATTGAAATTTGTTTAACGCATTCTTAACGCGCGCATCTCAACACTGATCTCATGCAAAACAATTTTTGCAAACGGCGAAGAGTCAAGACAATGACATGTACATAGAAATGTACAACAGAATTGCGAAAATTGCACATTATAGCTTTTTCTAGGATTTTACATAAACGTACAAAAACGACAGTCTTGAGATGGCGCAAGGACTGTTTGTCATATTGAGGGATTGAATCACATGTTTTTCTGCCATCTGGGATATTGTTTACTTTCCGGGGAGGGAACTTCCTATAATGGCCTTAGCTTGGGGCTCCGCCCAGAAGGGGTTACCTTTTTCAGGCCTCAGGTTTATGAAAGGGGAGGGGATTCACGAGTTGAGGTATATGAGAGGATAGCCTATGTGTAGCCACACCCTCCCCTTGACAAAGGAAAAACAGAGAGAGGGAGCTCCCTTCTCCATTTTTTCTTTGTCAGGGGGAGGGTGCAGCTACACGTAGGTAGTGATAAGCCTGTAATTCTTGGCGTTTTTTTTAAGAACCATTTTCCAATGAAAGGTATATGAAAGGGGGACATAAGGGGTTGGACCTCAGGGCGGGGCCTCCCCGTATAAAACTTTGATGAGTAGCCTCCCGGGGTATAATTTTCTGTAGATTAGTATACGGCTTGTAAAGGCCAATTTGATATTTTGATCTACCCTTTTTAGTTTTAGAAGTGAAAGAGTACAAAAGAACAACATTCAGGGTTATTCACCTCACTCACACTGGCAAAGTGGGTCTTGAGAGCAGGAAATCAAAGCAAGCAGTTAATTTTAACAAACAAGTGCAAGCAGCAAGACAATGCAGTGTGTGGATTGTGGTATTACCTTCAGCAATTCCTCAGATTACAAACAACATAAATGTGAACACAAAGGAGGCAAATCTCATTGGAAGGATCATGAACAGATACAACACTCAGAAAAGAAGCCTTACAAGTGCAAGTTTTGTGACAAGAGGTACAAAAAAATGTTACGTTGTAAGCAACATGAAATGAAACATGAAAAAGTGAAATCTATCCAGTGCAAGTATTGTGATAAGAACTTTAATAAGTCATCAGATCATGAGAAACATGAACTTTCATGTTCAGCAGTGAAACCTTATAAGTGCAAGTATTGTGACAAGAGCTTTAAGAAGTCATCAAATGTCAAGCAACATGAATCAACCCACACAGGTGTGAAACCCTATGAATGCAAGCATTGTGATAATTCTTTCAGCCGGTCGACTCACTGCCGCCAGCATGAACTGATACATACAGGTGTTAAACCATACAAGTGTAAATATTGTGACAAGTCCTTTCCACGCTCATCAGAGTGCAATGAACACAAAAAAACCCACCAAGAATTGCAGCCTTATCAGTGCAAGTATTGTGAAAAGTGTTTTAGTTGGTCATCAGACCGCAAAAGACACGAGAACACTCACAAAGGCATCAAACCACACCAGTGCAGGTATTGTGATAAGTGCTTTACGCGATCATCTACCTGCAAAGAACATGAATATACACACACTGGAGAAAAGCCTTATAAGTGCAAGTATTGTTTGAAGGGATTCACTCAATCATATAATTGCAAGAAACATGAGTTCACACATACAGGTGTGAGACCTCATAAGTGCAAATATTGTGATAAGCGATATACCCAGTCATCACATTTAAAGAGACATGAAAGAAACGCACACGGTAGCTAAACCTCATGAGTGCAAAAATGTGATTGTTTATTACCCAGTCATTGCATTTCAAGTGAAATTACTCACAGAGAGGAATGTATCGTTATGTAAAATGTTAAACATGTTTTATTGGGCTACTCATGAACTTGTGCCAAAACTGTTGCAGTTACCTTTACATTTATTGAAGTAAACTGAATCGTTGAGTTGGTGTTTTTGGCTTTCTTTGCCCTGTCATTGTTTGTTGATAAATGTTTGTACCAAATAGATAAAGATTGACAATGTTGTGTACTAATAATGGTTTTCAACTGATTGTTCAGTTGTATTAATAAGATCAGTTGTGGCATTTCTTTTCAAAGTATTAATTGAGATTGAATTTATTCACAGGAATAGACGATTTGAGCTCTTATTGTTTTGTCAAGAAAATGTAAAGTAACAACCAATAAAGTCTTCATTTCATAAGATAATCAAACATATCCTATGTGGCAAAATTATGACTGTAAAAAGCAACCCAGTGTACATGAAAATGACAATAATATTCTAATGAAATTTAGGAGATAACTCATATTACATTAGTATTGAAAAACTCACAGTGAAATTTACTCAATGAAATGTTGTAAAAACAAGTTTTTATTTTACAAGATTTATTGTAAATCTGTAACCATGGTAACTACTCCAACTTATTTCCTTCCATCAACTTTAACAAAAGAGTTGAAAGGTTTACAACATGTTCCTTATCCACTGTGCTCTTTGATTAAGAGCTTTTGTGGGTAACTAACACAATAATATTAGGGGATTTCTGAAAATGTTGCCATTCACAATTTTCCACAAAAGGAATGGTCTTTCCCAGAGTTCTTTTATTTAACAATTTCAGTGGAATCCTGCCTTATCAAAGTCCAGTGTCTTCCTAATGTCAGAAAGTCCTATTATTATTTTATTAATATGGTCACCCCACCACAATGAACAACAACCACCTTCTGGAGGTCGACCCAATTATTATTTTACCTTGTTAATATAGTCTTATGACAAACAGTCACACTTTAATAGTTTGAAAGGTTACAAAAGTGTGCATAGTTAGTAATTATTAACTGTGATTTATCATGTGATTTTGTCGCAAGTCGAAAAGGACTCGATCCAAGGTGTCAGGGATGATTTAGGGGGGGGGGGGGGGGGGGGGGAGAAGAACCTCCCCCACCCCCCCGGGATAATATTTTATTTTTTTATATATATAGATATGTGAATAAATTTTAATTAAATGTAATAATATGTAAAGTAGTTATGTTTTGTGTTTTTGTTTTTTTTTTTGTTTTTTAGTGTGGGGGGGGGGGCGGGGGGGGGGGGGGGGGGGGGGGGGGGGGGGGGGGGGGGGGGGGGGGGGGGGGGGGGGGGGGGAGGGGAATCAGAACTCCTCAAAGTCCCCAGGGCTTCCAAACAACACCCCACCAAAGCCCTGGACCAGAAATTAACCATCCCCAAAAACCCCATGTTGTTCCAGTTATTTCCACTTAAAGGTGAGGATACTGAGCCTTCGTCTTAGCTCAAGTCATCAGAGAGCACAAAATGCACCACTCTTGTCTGAAGTTTTTTCCAACTCATACAGTAAGGGCATTTCACCTCAAAGCCAATGACATTGCTCAGAAACTCTTTTTGATCACAGATCCTTCTTATTTTGACTGTTCAGGCAATAACGAAGAGTGGCCCAAAAGCGACTCATGAAAATCTCATTCCTAGAAGCTGGGATGTTTTAGGTCAACGGGATAACAGGAAGGGGAGTTCTGGGGTGGTTAAAGGGGTGAGTTCAGGAAATCTTGTTCCCAACTTTCCCCAAAATTACTACTGAATCCTTACCCTGAACCACAGTGTTTTTGCTGTTTGACTATGATCTTTAAATTCTCGACTTACCACTGTCTTGTACCAGTTTTGTTTTCAAAAAATATATATGCTATGTGCCACATGCTGTTCTGATTGGCTTTTCTGTGTTTTGAAGGCTCTATTGAAGAGCTTAGAATAATTTTCTTTATATTTTAAATTTATCTTGTTAAGAAGGTAACTGACGATTCCAAAAGCGAGAGTTCAAAATATGTTTCCTACAAGCAATGTAAAATTAATGTTAGTAGATCCTTTTTTCAAATTTAATTTTTCCATCGTTATTGTCTTTAACTTTAGTAACTGGCAACACAATCCTCAGCAATAAAAGCACTATACAATATGTAAGCCTGCTAAAATCTTAATGCTATGGTTGCAGGAGGTCTAAGCAAGTTGTGATGAGGTTTTCTGGGAAGAACCCTTGTTTTAATAAGCTTGTTTATAGCAGATGGTTTTGATTGTTAAAAATCTACACTTGATTTTGTACATAACTTGCTGGTAATTTTTCGAACATTACTTTTAAATATTTTATTTTTTTTATTCCTCTGGTACATCATTTCAGCATTGAGCTCCTCTGAATTTTAAAGAGAATTTCTTATAATTTGTCATCCGGTAATCAATGTTTGATGCAGACTGTGTATTGAGACTGTTTTATTGAAAAATAAGCATATTTTAAATTAATATTTTTAATGATTGTTTGTGGTGAAACCTGGCAAGTGTAACTTGATAGTGTATTTCTTTCTGGATCTGAAAAAGATGTACAAGATAAAATAAATGGCTTAAACCCTTGTTTGTTATTACATGTTACATATTCCAAGGTGGCCATTAAAGAAAGGTCGAACTGAAGTACTGCATTATTATAGAAGCTAAGTGGTAAAATTTACAATAACATCTGATGGCTGAATTACCTATGACTGTATGTATCTCAGAAAGAAAGCAACCAACACAACTACTAAAACCAAAATCTTTAGGCTGTGTGTTTCTGTGGATGTCATTTTCTTCTCGTGTGGTGAAGTTCGGGTCTTTGTTGCATAAATCACATTTCCAGGAGCATCTTCAATGGCCTTTTTTGCACCCACCCATGTACCAGGTCCCATGAGACGATACTGTGCTGGTGTACAGGGTCCAAAAAAGCACCTTAGGGCCAAGACTGGGTCACTGAAAAAGAGCCTGCACAAGTCTGGTTTACAACCGACCTCACTGGCTATTTCATCACAGTATGGAATGTAGTCAACCTGAGTGATAAAAGATAAACATTGAAAATTTTATGAAGACCTTAGAGCCCACCAGTTCTCTTTGTTTCTTTTTGAAAGTTTGTGAATTATATAAACTAGGCACAAGAAGGAAGATTCTGCCACTTCTCTGGCCTGGGACTTTCACCAGGCCTACAGCATTGTTTTGGTGTTATTTGTGTCCACACTTTTTTCCTTTGGCTTGTCACACTGTTTGTCAACATACTTTGCGAAACGTGCAATTTTTCTTCGACTTTCTTGGTTAATAGTAAATCTGAGGCAACAAATAAGTTTTCTGGGATTACTTATTTTTCCTCCTCTTATTTTTTAGGACATAAAAGAATTAAAAGTACCTTAATACAGTGGAACCTCGATTTAACGAACCTATATCTATATAACAAAGTCCTCATTATAACAAATGATTTTCTTTTCCCCAACAGTAGTAAAATATATGAAAAAGGACCTCGATATTAAATGAAAACTCTTTATAGCAAACAAATGTTGTCAGTCCCTTGGCCCCTTGTTAAATCGGGGTTCCACTGTACATGATATTTTGGCGACAGTAAAATTTGGTGAATTCAGCAATTTTTCTAAAATTCTTAAAATCGTTAAAGGAAAAGGCATCAAAATTAAGTGCTACTAAATTTAAATTGTCGCTTAATTTAAATGAGTACAATATGGAATTTCCCCATCTGATCACTTTCACAGACATATGCTATTTAACAGTCGATTATGACCTGTATTATTGACTTTGTGTACCTTGAATCTGAGTGAGGTCATAGCATTACAGTAGTTGCAGTTTGGTTTGTTTCATTCAAAATTAAGTTTCAGAATGTTGTATGATTTTAATTAAAAGGAAGCTACTGATGTTTGATTTTATCACATAAATGTTCTATTGTCGTCGTAAAAGTTTTTAATACCTTAATTCGCCAAAGTTTCAGTTTGTGAAAATGTGAAAATTAAGTCACTTACATTACACAATAATTTTGAAATATCGCTAAATTAAAGTGCGACTAAAAAAGGATTTTTCAAAATCGCTAAATTAATACGTTGCCAAAATTTCATGTAATCAAGTATTATGAGATGCAAACTGCAAGTTAGTTGCAGTAAACCAAAGGTTAACTAGCCAGTCCTCTAACTGCACTTTGAACAATGTATTTTCAACCTGAAGTTAACAAATCCGTGGTTAAGAAATTTAATCTGGTTAGGCCTAACATACTCGCGATTAGTTAAACCCATCTGATTTGAACAACCAACCCCAGGTCAGCAGCCAGTGTTCTCCTTAGGATTTAAGGAAGGCCAGGGGGTATTAACCAGATTTTTCCTATTTGGAATAACTGATTTTGGAACATCTGGTGTCGTTTTAGGTCTCTGAACTTCTTCCACCATATTTCTGTCTTTCTCCACAGAGAAAAAGAACTCAGTTTGTTTTGACCAGCTTTTAATTTTCATTTCATGCATCTTTGATTGACCGAGTTCTCGATTTTGAAACTCCCTAAAGAGTGAGTGCAAGAATTTCATTTCGTTTTCCATCTAAGCTTTTTGAATGGCCCTTTGTGATGGCTGCTGTTTGTGTTCAGTGAAAGCAATGCATCACAGGTTTAAAAATATTCATCCAACAGTAAATCAATTTTATTATTTTAATGAACAATTGTGAGAAAACACTCAAATAGAAACAACAGACAATGTTTCATTAACTTTTATAGCGAGATTTCTTCTCTGAAATAACTAGTTCTAAATGTCAACATAGGCTTCTGTTGGCCGAGGGTTATATCTTTGGCTTTTAAGCCAGGTGGCAGCATTTTTCCTGTGAATTAAGTCAGGTGGCCTGCATAGCCTTAAATACCTTGGGAGACCACTGGCAGCATATCAGAACCAGCCTTAGGGTGGCCACGGGTGTCTTGCATGCAGAAAATGTTTTTAGAGTTGATAAATATTGTCGAATGTTAGAACATGTTACTAAGGGTTACTTTTCTTCTTACAAATTTTGAGGTCCTATAATTATTATGACATCTCACCTGTATGGTGTGACGCTTAGTAGCATAGTATCGCTTTGCCATATCTTCTTTTTTCTTTTTGATGTTTTCCATCATAGCAACCTTTGAGGGGAGTGATTTCTTTCCACTAAAGACTTGCGTTGCCCAGCGTGCTTGTAACTCTGATATAGGAAAAATAGCTCCGAGGGGCTGAATGCAACCAAGAACAGCAAGAGTTGGTTTTTCCAGGTTTGGTGGAAATACATATTTGTACAATTCAACCATGTTATCATTTACAGGCAAAATGGAATGATCTATAAACTTGAATCCAATCTTGTATCCTGTGCAAAAGATCACTACATCCAAGTCATTCACTTCAGAACCATCATCAAAAACAACTCCTGTCTTAGTGAAGTGGCTCACGTTGGGCTTAACAACCACATTTCCTGTGATGATGCGATGGGGAAGATCATCATTAACCATAGGATGCTGAGCAGTAATAGGATGTTGAGGGCGCAATGCAAATGCTTCATGATCAAATCTCTCATTTACTACCTTGTGAAAAAGGTAACCAAGTAATTTTCTAGGTAAAGACCATATAAATCGTCTCCCTGCTTGTTGGTCTGCGGGCTCACCACCTTTCCCAAGGCGGGACAGCACCCATGCACCCCTGCGAGTGCTAAGGAAGACTTGTGAAGAGTGGCGACTAAGTTCCACGGCAATGTCTCCTCCAGAGTTTCCTATACCTGCACAAAAAAATAATAATAACAGTGTATTAATCATTTCATATAATACAATGGTATGTAAAATGATTTATATACTGCGGGACATACAACCCTTAGTTAACCCCCAAGACAAGCTCTCACTGGTCAAGATGACTTAAACTGGGTTATTTCTCAGTTGACAAGCTGGTGTTTTCTCATCTGGAATAATTTATGCATTTTGATGGAAAAAATGACTGACTGGTCGGAAATGTTAAACTCTCACAATCTAAATTTGTATAGAAAGGTCTGTTTACTCAAAAGCAATTTGATTATATTCAAATGAAAATTGTTAGCTATATACAGGGCAGTAAATGGGGGGGGGGGACCTATCATGCATCATGCTGATTGTTTTTAAAGCAATCACGCATCACAGAAAAATAAATAAAGGATATTACATGGCCGTACGGTGATAAAAAAAATTCTCTTCAAGTGGTGAATAATACTTTTCAACATGAGAAGAGAAATTTTGTATCTCCAAGCGACCATGTAATGTTCTATTTCTATTTATATTATATAAAGACCAATGAAATACCAAACCGTTTCACTTCAATAGCTTGTGGCTGTGAAAGGTGCAATTTATTATGCAGCCATAGCAACGGTGATCTTTTCACATGTGAAAATAACATGTTATTTTCACGTGTGAAGATATGTTTTCGCGCAAAAGCTCACCTATTGGTGTTTATATTTGACTCTTAGGTCAAACTTCTCCCATACAGACCGACCTAGCTCGGTTAATAAGATGATTATATAGCCAAACAAGAAAGCTAAGGAACAAAAACATATATAATTTTATTTGCTTCCCTGCGTGGGCTCAAGCATTTAGCTGGCTTTCTTCTGTCACTGGTCTCCAGTCCGAACGGGACAAAAATAACTGTTCAAAGTCCAGCTTTGTACAAACTTTGTACAAACAAGCCAATTTTTTTATATTCTTTGTTTGTAACTTTTTGAGGACAACTGTTACAACAAGATCGGTCTAGATGCTGGTCTAGATGGGAAAATCTAGACCGCTGTCAAGATCGATTTTAGCCAATCAAATTCTTGAATTTATTTGTTTCCAGTCCTTTTGAGACATGGCCATGTAATAAAATAAAATAAAACATTAACTACATTAACAAGTATTCTATTCCAAGGAAATCAGAGGTCAAGGAACGAGAAAAAAGTGCAAGAAGTTGGTGTCATAACTATCTATTGTTAATGTCTCTGCTTCTAGTTTCAAATGATATTAACCATCACATTAACCGCCACAAGGTTAGCTCAATGGGATAAGTGCCGGTATACTGAGCAGGAGGCTGTAGGTTCAAACCCCAGCCGGACCAACACTCACGGTCTTTAAATAACTGAGCAGAAAGTGCTGCCTTTGTAATAACATCCGCAAACGGTTAGACTTTCTAGTCTTCTCGGATAAGGACAATAAACCGTAGGCCCCGTCTCACAAGCCCTTGCACATGTAATAAATCTGTGGGATGTTAAAGGACCCACACGCTCTTCGTAAAGAGTAGGGCACGTAGTGCCCAGTGTAGTGGTCTATCTCACTTTCACACTTTTGTATGGGGGCATCAGTACTCATTCCCTCATTACTTTTAAACTGCACCTTAAGCAGTCTGGCAAAGTCCCCCAACCAGTGTTGTAAATTGTTTAAATACCAGGGGAAGGAGAGCACTTCCCCATTAGGTATGAATTGGGTCGTCAGCACATCACTACCCAAACTTTCCTTGAGTGTACCCCCGGCCAGGATAAACGCCTGGCCATTTGAATAATCTAATAATTTTATTGTTATACATCCAGAACATTTATAAATCCGGACCAATCTCCTTTATGTAAACCAGGCCTTAATTTTATATTTTGCTAAAATAAATGCTATCTAACTGTCTGTTTGACGTACCCAACACCAGAACCTTTTTGTTTTCGAAGGGTTTAAAATCCTTGTAGGAATGACTGTGAATCTTTACGCCAGCAAACTCGTCCTGGCCCGGAAACTTAGGATTTGGCCACGAAGGCTCAGAATGATGCCCGACACATAACATCACCGCATCATAAACTTCTACTCTGTCTTCTCCAGAATCCTTCCCGTTGAGTTCTTGAAAGACAATCTCCCATTTTCCGCTCTCTTCAAAATCAAACGTTTTTCTAAGATCGACTACTTTCGTACGGAATCGAATGTGCTTGTAGAGATCAAACGCTTCAGCGTAAAGATGGAAGTATTGTACGATTTTATCATGGCGCATATACGGTGGATACTCCTTAGGTATTGGAAAATCTGAAAAACACATCATCTCTTTGCTGGTGTTGATTACAGTTGATCTGTAAACAGAGCTATGCCGCTCTTCTTCCGTAAAATACCACAGTCCTCCGATGGAATCCTCTTGTTCAAAGCACACTGGCTCCAAACCATCGTCTTTGCAAGATTTTATGCAGGTTAGGCCGCTTGCTCCAGCGCCGATGATTGCAACTTTCATTTTTCCCGGCCGGCAGAGTCCCCTGTCTTATGTTTGAGTCCGAAAGACTTTCTGGGATGTTTGCTCCGTCATCGATCAGTCTGTACTGCAAAATCTCTTTGTCACGCAGACTATTGCGTTACACAATATGGCGGACGAAGGCAACGAAATGAGCGCCAGCTGTTCCAACACATTTATCCTTGGAATCGACATTGGTACAACCTCGATCAAAGCGAGCTTATTGAGTCATAACATTAGAGAAGTTATTGAGAGCGTTAGAAGGGAAACAAATGCAAATATTTCAGACAAGAACACGTCATTTGTAGAACAAGATGTCAGAAAAATCCTGTCTGTTTTACAAGATGCTCTTGGTCAACTGTCACCACAGCTCCTTGCCAGAGTAAACAGAATTGGGATATGCGGACAAATGCATGGCTGCGTTTTGTGGAAACGAGGATATTGCATGGCCAAGTCTTGGGATACTAGCAAAAACAATGTTTCTAATCTTATAACTTGGGAAGACAGAAGATGTACTAATGAATTTTTGGCTACGCTTCCCCTTACTCAGACAGACGTCGCTATTTCTACGGGCTTTGGATGTGCTAGTCTTTTCTGGCTGCAAAGAAACTATCCAAGTCTTCTAGAACGTTATGACTGTGCAGGAACGATCATGGATTTCATTGTGTGTTTGTTGTGTCAATTGGAAGAGCCTTGTATGTCTTCTCAGAATGCTGTCAGCTGGGGTTATTTTGATGTTGAGAACATGAAGTGGGAGTTGGACCTGTAAGTCTTACTAGGACTAAAATAATAACCATTTCAGGCTGTGTAATACTTTATAATATAGTTAAACCTCACCACTCCCAAGTACCAAGATTTGATTGGCCCCAACCAACCAGAGAGAACCCTTTGAACATGGTTGGGTGTGCCCCTATGAGAGGTATAGATTGGTAAATTCGAAACTTTGCAAGCCTGTGATTTGAGACCCTGGTTTCAAAATTCGAGACCAAGACTTCAGCGTTTTTATCACTTCTGAGCCCGAGACTATACTTCTAAAAATTCCGCCTGAAGACTCTAAGCGCAGAAAATTTCAAGTTTACAGTACAACTAAAACTAAATAAAATGACCAAAAGCTAGCAGAAGCCCACCAGTATACTGCTTTGTCTCATTTCACTGTCTTAATCTACAAGTTCATATCGATAAGCTATATGGCATTCCATGAACTCTGGAAAATTAAATTCCTGAAGGAAGAACAAACAGAAAGAAAAAACGACAAATCAACAACTCTGAGACCCGTCGGGAAAAAAATTTGAGACTCCAAGATGCAAAAAAATCACCTGAAAACAAGACTTTGAGACCTATCAAAAATACTCCTGAGATTTTAAGATCAAGCCAAAATTTTCTGAGACCAACATTTTTTTGACATACCGTTCTATACCCCTTTGGAGGTTGTCTTTCATAAGGGGTTTAAACTTTGGGGGGTGGGGGGAGGGGACTTTTGGGAGGTTTGTGTTGAGGTTTGCCACCAAAGACATAAACCATGTTTCTTGCTACAGACTTGCCAACCCCAAAGGAAAATCTGGAAGTCTTACAAAAAGTTGTGAGATTCTTCTTTTATTGATAGAAACTCCAGATGACCGCAACTCTAACTCCAGATATTTTTCATAACTTCCCACCCCACCCATTCTAATTGTGTAGATACCATATTTATTCGAATAAGCGTCTAACCTCGAATTAGCGCCCACCTCAAATAAGCGCCCATCCTAGAGAGAGAAAAAGTTAATAAGCGCCCAGCCTCGAGTAAGCGCCCACCCCTCCCCTTTCCACTCAAACTCAAGTAAGCGACCACAACCAAAACCCACTCCCCTTCCCCCTCACAGCCCCGCAAAAAAACTGAATAACTACTAATTAGAGACTTCCCGAAGACAGAGTTTTGTTCAGAGTATTTTACAGAAACCTTGCTTTGTTACATCTTCGCGTTTTGTTATTACCATTTGTTGTTTTGTTGCGAAATAAACATACTACACTTGCTGAAAATGATGAAAATGTAATAAGCGCCCAGCCTCGAATAAGCACCCACTCTCAAGGTCCAAAAATTTAATAAGCGCCCAGGGCGGTTAATTGAATAAATACGGTAATAACCTATAATCAAGCTGTCATTTTGTACTGTCTAACAGCTTGAAGAGTGCAAACTTCCCCACCCATCTCCTGCCTGTAGTAGCTGAATCATCAGCTGTAGCTGGTAAACTTCAACAGCCATTGTTTGGCATTCCTTCTGGAATTTCAGTCGGGGTGGCTCTGGGAGACTTTCAATGTGCAGTGCTTTCCACAATTTCTTCAGAAACTGATGCAGGTACACTGATGAAATTTCAGTCAGACATTTCTATAATTCAGCTGAATTTCCCATTTGTCCATCAATATTGCACTTCTTTGTTTTCTCTTATGATACTTAGCTTACATTGACCTTTCAGTTCTGAATGTCAGCACTTCTAGTCAACTAGCAGTGGTTGTACCTGATGACAAAGGCAATATTTTCACTGGTGAACTGCCGAGTAAGGCTGTGAAATGCCTTCCATTCTTTCAAGGAAAGAAGGTCATGACTGCAGCATCACTATCAGGTTGTTTATCTGTTGAATTTTTGTTTGCAAATTTGCCAAATTTGGAGTGTTATAACCATAGGACAGACACAAGCTAAAGAGAACTTACTATTTACATCAGAAAAACGAAAATTTGTCAAAATGCAAGTGTTATAACCATATGTGCATGGGACACAAGGGGAGCCTATTTACGTGAGGAAACTGAAAATTCCCCTTCATCCTAAGAACAAATTATTTAGAGTTAATTTGTCACTTAATGGAAATTAGTGGAGGACATCCCAAGGTGTTTTCATTTAAATGAAACCCCTTTTACATGACTTTTGCATGGTGCAAATTTATTTCTTTGGATGTAAGAATTTAATGAATTCTTTACATATACTTGGACACTATTACATGTAGGACTGAAAAGGTCTAATACATTACTATAAGTCCATGAAAAGTGGAAGGTAAAAGAGTTTTGTTTATTCCAAGGTGGTAATGTTTTGGCTACATATGTTCAAATGTTAACATCATGGATAAGGGATCTTGGTTTGAATGATCACCTTCCAGCCACTGATGAAATTTATCAGAGGATTCTTGATTGTGCTGAGAAGAAGAGTTCATCATCTCTGAAAATTACTGCAACACTATGGGGTGAGCGACACATGCCAGATAGGAGGGCTGAAGTAAGCAATCTCTCATCAGACAATATTTCACTGGGTGATGTGGGACTCTCACTTTGTCGTGGACTTGTGGAAAATTTACATGAAATGATGCCCAAAAAAGTCCTTCACCTGCACGGCGTGCAAAGGATTGTAGGCACTGGAAGTGCTTTAATAAGAAATCAGGTTCTTCAAAAACAAGTTGAACAGGTTTTTGGGTTGCCTCTTGTGATGAGCAACAACTCAGAAGGGTCAGTTGGTGCTGCATTGGCTGCTATTTTAGAATACACTTAATACAAGATGCACTTTGCAGAGAGCATAATTATTACTATTAAAGGGGTAAAAGAAACTACTGAACAATGCAGGAAACCACCCTTAAGTGTTCATTTTAGAAGTATTTGCAAGAAGTTGACGGCGCAATAAAGCTTGTGGGAACAATTCATTAAATGAGCTTCACATTCTGAGAGGCTGCTCCTTAAATGTTCTACTCACTGGAAAAGGATTTAATGGAGCCAAAACTAATAATAATGGAATTGCCCTGCTAGGGGTCCTAGTGATGAACAATATTATTTATAAAATATATCATTGCGGGAGCAACTAGCGGTTACTAGTCTTGTCTCCTTAGATTATTAATGTTTGTAGATGGTCTCACATAAGTGTTGACTTGAAGCTACAATTCATAACATTAGAACTTTACTCAATAAGAGTACTAATGTTGACATGTTGTGCTTGACATCCTTTTCCCTCTTCCTTTCAATGCTGGCCTCAAGAAACCATGACAAAACAACATTGGAAGGGAGAAAGGCAGGCACATGTACCAGAGCAGTGTGAGCCACGATAGGTGTCCTTGATTGCAGTTACATAGAGTGGTTTTCGTTTGAGTGTCGTAAAACCAAAACCAAAGTAATTACTCTGGCCAATCACATAGGACACAGACAATACATTGAACCAATCAAAACTCGAAGTAATTACATGCGGCTGACGCAAAGCGCGGGAAAATGCATGCGAGCGCGTCACAATTGGCTTTGGTTTTACTTCTGATTGGATGAAAAGGTGGCGCGAATCTTTTAAGCCAATCGCATCGTGTAGAAAGTGCAAAACCAATTACTTTTCGACACTCAAATGAAAACCGCTCTAATATTAAAACTGATGCAGTGACAAACTGTATTTATTTTTACAATGAATGTTGTAAACATCTGTTTTGAAAATATTCACTAATACAATATATTATTAATCATAACTATAGCAAAATTCTTAAATCTGATTGGCTATCAACTGTCCTGATTTCAGCACTAATAGGAAAGTGTAATAGGACAGTACGCCTCATGCCTATGTAATTGGACAGTACACGCCATCGCGCGCACACTTAAATGGCTTTTTTTTATGCTAGCAACAAAACTCTTTGAATTTCTTGTGTGTTTTTATTTTTCAAGGGGGCTAAAACATCAAAAATTTTGTTATAGTTATGATTAATTGTGAACAGAACTTCCCCTTGTCCAATTCGGTCTGTAATCATAACTATAACAAAATTCTCAAATCTGATTGATCAAAATTTGGAATGGGATACCTCAAATTCTTAAAGAAAGACCGAAAAAAGCTTTTAAAAGATCACTAAAAGAAATGCTATTGATTTTCTTGAAACTGAAGACTCCTATATTGATGTGGATACGATCATCGTGAAAATGAAAAAGTAATTCTCTTGTCCTTTATTTTCATTTTATTTTATTTTTAAAATTTCACTTTAATTATTGTCCTTGCATTTAAGTAGAACGTATCTATTTAATGTAAAATGTATATACTTATATAACGCTTAATTTCTTTGTATTTGTCTAGTTTGTTGAGCTTTGTTGTAAATTATGTAGCCTGGCCTGCCTCAAATAGCCTCGCTAACTGCAGGCCAGTCCCAATGTATCTTTTGCTATATTTTCAAATTTAAATAAAGTTGAAGTTGAAGTTGAAGTTGATTGGTTATCAACTGCCCTGATTTAGCCTAGGACAGTTTAATAGGACAGTACGCATTATACCTAAGTAATTGGACAGTACACACCATCATGCGTGCACTTAAATAGCTTTTCTTCACTGCTGGCAAAAATTTGGAATTTCTTGTGTTTTGATTTAAAAAAAGAGCCTTATATATCACAAACATTGTTAAAAGTTATGATTAATTGGTAACAGAAGTCTGTGTCGCCCAATTCGGTCTGTAATCATACTCGTGATTAAACAGTAGCGAGAGTCTGATTTTGTTAATCACTCGTATGATTACAGACCGAATTGGACTCCTCTCAGTCCTGTTACCATAACTAATCATACTCGTGATTAAACAAATCAGACTCCTGCTAAGTAGTCGTCTGATTTTTTTTAATCACTTGTATGATTACAGACTGAATTGGACTCCACTCATTATTTATTTTTTGATGCTATCTTTTTGCTTGCGTAGCAGTAACCACTTGTCTGTATGCCTCACATATGATTACAGTGCCAGCCATTGCTGCACTTAACCTGTCCAGTTTGCTCACCATTGGCACATGAACAATGTGTCCTTTGTTTTCATGAGCTAATTTCTTTACAGTCTTTCCAGGACCTGTGGTCTCCCTTCCAATGACAAGAACACTGGGGCCCAGAGTCCAGTCCACTTGATAGTAGTCAGAAAATGGCATGTTCCACCCATCTGGTGAGGAAAAGTAAATGGAAAGTTTTGTAAGTAACTTAAATAAAATAGATAAAAAGAGAATGTGAATTACAAATCCCCCATGCTGCTGTCACTATGCACACCATACATGCTCAAATTGGTGCCCTATTCACAACACTCATAGCGATAAAGTTTGATTACACCTAATTAACAGATTTAGGGCCTGTTTACATGGAGGTTTGGGACTCCAGATAGGAGAGGTAAATTGTGGCAGGTCACCCCACCTATCATGTAAATGTGATCAAATTAAAACGAGAGATTATATTGAAAGGCAGGTTACCTGACTGGGTTACCTCACCTACCTGGGGTCCATCACCTTCAGGTAAATAAATAGGCTGTTAACTGGCAAGTCGGACAGTTTCATATGCAATAATAATGTAACTTTTGATGATACATTCTGATTTAGCGTGGAAATAATAAATTATTATTTCATTCTTGCTCAGTCACCTTCCTACCCAAAATATTGTGTGAGTCATAATAATAAGTATAACTACCCCTAAGTTGGCTAAGTCTGCTGATCAATCAGGTTTCTCATACATGTACATACTATAATACAACTGAGCAAGAATATGAATGTTGTTGAGTAAACTTTTCTAGTGACGTTAAATCACCTCCTTTAATTTGTGTCAGCTACCACCACCACCCCCCTCTTTTGGTTCTATTTTCCTTTGCTTGTCTTTGAAAGTAATGACATGGAACTACAAAGCATCAATTTTATACATACCACCATGAATATTGCTATCTGCCAGAAAAATCCTCTTTTTGTCCACAAGCTTCTGAATCCCTTCCCAGTCCAGATTATAGTAACTTGGAACATGAAAATGTCCACCAGCAGCACATCGGTGTCAGGGATGGTTGAAGGGGGGCAGGGATCAAAAGTCCTCAAAGTCCCTAGGGCTTCCAAACAAAACCCCACAAAAAACCCTGGACCAAAAATTCCAGTTATTTCCAGTTAAAAGTGAGGATGCTGACCCTTGGTCTTAGGTCAAGTCATCAGAGAGCACAAAATGCACCACTCTTGTCTGAAGTTGTTTCCAACTCATACAGTAAGGGCATTTCACCTCATAGACAATGACATCACTCAAAAACTCTTTCTGATCACAGAGCCTCCTTATTTTGACTGCTCAGGCAATAAACAAGAGTGGCCCAAAAGTGACTTGTGAAAATATCATTCCTAGAAGCTGGGATGTTTTAGGTCAACACCAACTACAACCCAATTATTTGGCATTATTGCGGCAAAAGAAACAGTGACAAACTTGAGTGGATGAACAAGAGCTGCTTGCGTTTTATTTTTTAATGAATATCATAGTTCCTATGACAAACTTCTAAATAACATCAATCGGCCTAGCCTGCACAATCGTAGAATACATGATGTGTTAACTCTTGTATATAAGTCTTTTCACGGTTTGGCCCCTAGTTATGTTAACGAGCTACTGATAGAAAGAAATTCTTCTTACAATTTGCATGGTAAACACTCTCTTAGTATTCCCAGAGTTCAATCGACCAAATATGGTTTGCACTCCTTTCGCTACTCTGCCAGCAAATATTGGAATATACTTAGAACTGCTGAATCATTACATGTTTTCAAATCAAAAATTAAGAGCATTAGCTTTGATAATAAATGCTGCTCCTTTTGTAATTAGTTTTAATTATCACTAGTTACTGTAGTCACAATATATATAATTATTTTCTTGTTTCTACATTATCTTAAACTTGTACTGTACATAATATATAGTATTTACTTTATTCTAATTACCTTTGTCATTCATTTTCTATTTGTTTTTGCTCTTCCTTTGGAGATATTAGCATTGCTTGATGCTATTTTTTGAAATTCGAAGTGAAATAAAGTTTTTGATTTGATTTGAACTGGATATGAGGAAGGAGAGTTCTGGGGTGGTTAAAAGGGTGAGTTGAAGTAATCTTGCCCTCAAATTTCCTCAAAATTACTACTGAATCCTTACCCTGAACCACAGTGTTCTTGTTGTTTGAGTATGATCTTTGATTTCTCGACCTACCCCTGTCTTGTACCAGTTTTGTTCTCAAAACATATATATTCATTTTAAGATTTACTGTAGCTCTGCCATTTATTTTCCCGTGTGTAATTTTGATAATATTTTGTTCTAATTATCTAACTGAGGGAGCCCATTCCTTATAAACCCAGTGGCTTCTTCTCGGGCTTCCTTGCCATGAGAGTTTAAATAATTAGATTTGTTTTTGCTTTGTACAACTTATGGCAAACAAAACAATAAACAATAAACAATATGCTATGTGCCACATGCTGTTCTGATTGGCTTTTCTGTGTTTTAAAGGCTCTGTTGAAGAGCTTAGAATTTATATTTTAAATTTATCTTTTTAAGAAGGTAACTGAAGATTCCAAAAGCAAGAGTTCAAAATATGTTTCCTACAAGCAATGTAAAATTACTGTTGGTAGATCCTTTTTTCAAATCTTAATTGTCTTTAACTTTTAGTTAGTAACTGGCAACACAATGCTCAGCAATAAAAGCATTATAAAATATGTAAGCCTGCTAAAATCTTAATGTTATGGTTGCAGGAGATCTTAGCAAGTTCTGATGAGGTTTTCTGGGAAGAACCATTGTTTTAATAAGCTTGTTTATAGCAGATGGTTTTGATTGTTAAAAATCTACACTTGATTTGGTACAAAATTTCCTGGTAATCTTTTGAACATTACATTTAAATATTTTATTTTTTTAATTCCTCTGGTAGATCATTTCAGCCTTGAGCTCCTCTGAATTTTAAAGAGAATTTCCTATAATTTGTCCTTCTGTAATCAATGTTTGATGAAAATTGTGTAGTGAGACTGTGTTATTGAAAAATAAGCATACAGTTGACTCCCGATAACTTGAACCCTCGCTAACTCGAACCTCACACTAACCTCAACCAAAGTCGATTTCCTCTGGATTTCCTCCTTATATCGACTGTAATTTTACCCTCGGTAACTCAAACCCTCGACAACTTGAACCTCCCACTAACTCAAAGTAATTTTTGTTCCCCTTCAGATCATTTCTATACAATTTTCTCCTCTATCACTCAAACCATGTAATAAGCGAGTGACAAGTCAGGAAAAACCATGTACTGAAGTCCAAAACATTTAATCTATTTCAAAACAACCGAGTCAATTCTTTGTCTTTACTTTTTTGCCACTCCAGTTCAAATTCAGTGTCCATCCTTGTATACTTCACTGCTTAATTGCATTTCCTCCCCATCCATTTGCTTATTTCCTTACTTCTGGTCATTGCTTCAAACTCCTGATAACTCGGACTTCTTTTGATTTCCCTTGAACATTCGAGTCATCGGGAGTTGACTGTATTTTAAATTAATATTTTTAATGATCATATGTGGTGAAACCTGGAAAGTGTAACTTGATAGTGTATTTATTTGTGGATCTGACAAAAATGTAAGATAAAATAAATAGCTTAAACCCTGGTTTGTTATTACATGTCATATATTCCAAGGTGGCCATTGGAGAGAGGTTGAACTGAAGTACTACAAATTATAGAAGCTAAGCAGTAAAATTCACAATAACATCTGATGGCTGAATTACTTATTACTGTATGTATCTCAGAAAGATAGCAACCAACACAACTACTAAAACCAAAATCTTTAGGTTGTGTGTTTCAGTCTGTGGATTTCATTTTCTTCTCAGTTGGTGAAGTGCGGGTCTTTGTTGCATAAATCACATTTCCAGGAGCATCTTCAATGGCCTTTTTTGCACCCACCCATGTACCAGGTCCCATAAGACGATACTGTGCTGGTGTACAGGGTCCAAAAAAGCACCTTAGGGCCAAGACTGGGTCACTGAAAAAGAGCCTGCACAAGTCTGGTTTACAACCAACCTCACTGGCTATTTCATCACAGTATGGAATGTAGTCAACCTAAGTGATACAAGATAGACATTGAAAATTTTACAGATGAAGACCTTAAAGCCCACCAGTTCTCTTTGTTTCTTTTTGAAAGTTTGTGAATTATATAAACTGTGCACAAGAAGGAAGATCGATTCTGCCTTTTCTCTCAGACTTTCACCACTGCTTTCTTCTCCAGGCCTACAGCATGGTTTTGGTGTTATTTGTGACAACACTTTTTTCCTTTGGCTTGTCACACTGTTTGTTAACATACTTTTATAGCGCAATGGGCAATTTTTCTTTGACTTTCTTGGTCAAGAGCAATATCTGAGGCTACATATATATGTTTTCTGGGTTTGCGTATTTTTTTGCCCACCGAGTTGTTCTCTCGTAGTTAGTTTTGCTTGATCTCGTCAATAAGTCGTTTGTACGGCGCTGGTAACTGTTGGCTACGATTCACTGAATCGTAGCCAACAGTTACCAACAGTTACCAGCGCCGTACAAAGGACTTATTGACGAGATCAAACAAAACTAACTATGAGAGAACAACTGGAGAACTGACAATTTGACTAACAATAGTCGACTGTTTAACTGTGACAATAGACGGATCGAAACGCACCAGTCACTGATTACGAGTCTTCATAGCCAATAACATCATGGCTTAACTGACAGACGACCAATAACATCGTGACATAATTGACCAATCAGATCAATAACCAGAGTATAATACCATCAACTGACGTGATACAACTCACTTTGACTCTGAAGATGACTACCGCACAGGTTGTCGAAACGTCAGTCACTGTCAACAACAACAGTCCTATTCAGGACTACGTTCACCCGCACGATCAAACTCAACCTTTTGAAATGACTCCTGGGTTCAAACCTTTCACAATTAAGTGTTGTTAAATTTAAATCGTCACTAAATTAAAATGAGCACAATATGAAATTCTGCGATCTGATCAATTTGATACACATATGCTATTTGGTGGTTGATTATGACCTGTATAATTGACTCTGTGTACCTTAAATCTGAGATATGACATTACAGTAGTTACAGTTTTGTTTGTTTTGTTCAATTAAGTTTCAGAATGTGGTATAATTTTGATTAAAATGAAGCTGTTGATGTTTGATTTCATCACATAAATGTTCTGTTGTTGTCATAAAAGTTTTGAATACCTTAATACGCCAAAGTTTCAGTTTGTGAAATCGTGAAAATTAAGTCACTTACATTCCAAAATATTATTAAAAAATCACTAAGTTAAAGGGCCACTAAATATTGAGGATTTTTCAAAATTGCTAAATTAATGTTTTGCCAAAATGTCATGTAATAAGGTACTATGGGATGCAAACTGCAAGTCAGTCGCAGTAAACCCAAGGTTAACTATTAACCAGCCCTCTAATACTAACTGTGCTTCAGACAATGCAAGTTTAACCTAAAGTTAACAAATCTGTGCTTAAGAAATTTAATCTCTGGTTAGGCCTAACATACTTGAGGTTAGTTAAACCCATCAGATTCGAACAATCTCCCCCAGGTCAGCAGCCAATGTTCTCACTAGGATTTAAGGAAGGCCTACAGGGGGTATTAACATGTGACAAAGCCCTACAAAAATTATGTCTGTGCAGGATGTTAGAGGGTATTTCTCATATGATTTTCAACAGTGTTTGTATGAAGCCTGTTCTCTTGTCTGAGTAAAAATTAAGAAAAACTTGGAAACAAACTCATGCTGGATCAAAACCTGATTTTTGCTGTTTGGAATAATTGATTTTGGGAGATCTGGTGTCAATATACGTCTCTGAATTTCTTCCACCAGATTTCCATCACTTTTCTGTCCTTTTTCCAGAGAAAAAAGAACTCAGTTTGCTTTGACAAGTTTTTCATTTATGTTCCATGCATCTTTGATTGACAGAGTTCCTGATTTTGAACTACCTAAAAGGTGATTGCAAGAATTTCATTTATGTACTCCATCTAAGCTTCTTGAATGGCCCTTTATGATGGCTGCCGTTTGTGTTCATTGAAACCAATGCATCACAAGTTTGAAAATATTCATCCAACAGTAAATTATATTTTATAATCAATTAATTGTGAGAAAACACTCTGATAGAAACACCAGACGATGTGTCATCAACTTTTATATTGGGTGATTTCTTCTTTGAAATAACTAGTTCTAGATGTCAACTTAAGCTTCATTTTGTTGAGTTAAATCTTCGGTTTCTAAGCCAAGTGGCAGTGTTTTAATTTCCAGCGAATTAAGCAAGGTGGCCCACTTAGCCTTAAAATACCTTGGAAGAACACTGGCAGCATATCAGATGTGAAAAATGTTTTTTAGAGTTGATAAATATTGTAGAACGTTAGAACATGTTACTGAGGGTACTTTTCTTCTTACAAATTTTGAGGTTCTATAATTATTATGGCATCTCACCTGTATGGTGTGACGCTTAGTAGCATAGTATCGCTTTGCTATATCTTCTTTTTTCTTTTTTATGTTTTCCATCATAGCAACCTTCGTGGGGAGTGATTTCTTTCCAATGAAGACTTGCGTTGCCCAGCGTGCTTGCAACTCTGATATAGGAAAAATAGCTCCGAGGGGCTGAATGCAACCAAGAACAGCAAGAGTTGGTTTTGCCAGGTTTGGTGGAAATACATATTTGTATAATTCAACCATGTTATCATTTACCGGCAAAATGGAATGATCTATAAACTTGAATCCTATCTTGTATCCTGTGCAAAAGATCACTACATCCAAGTCATTCACTTCAGAACCGTCATCAAAAACAACTCCTGCCTTAGTGAAGTGGCTCACGTTAGGCTTAACAACCACACTTCCTGTGATGATGCGATGGGGAAGGTCATCATTAACCATAGGATGCTGAGCAGTAATAGGATGTTGAGGGCGCAATGCAAATGCTTCATGATCAAATCTTTCATTTACCACCTTGTGAAAAAGGTAACCAAGTAATTTTCTAGGTAAATACCATATAAATCGTCTCCCTGCTTGTTGGTCTGCGGGCTCACCACCTTTCCCAAGGCGGGAAAGCACCCATGCACCCCTGCGAGTGCTAAGGAAGACTTGTGAAGAATGGCGACTAAGTTCCACAGCAATGTCTCCTCCAGAGTTTCCTATACCTGCACCAAAAAACAATAATAACAGTGTATTAATCATATTACAATGGTATGTAAAATGATTTATATAATGCAGGACATGCAACCCTTTGTTAACCCCCAAGACAAGCTCTCACTGGTCAAGATAACTGACTGGTTTATTTCTCAGTTGATAAGCTTGTGCTTTCTCCTCTGGAATGATTTATGCATTTTGATGGAAAAAATGACTGACTGGTGGAAATGCCAAACACTCAAAATATAAATTTGTATAGAAAGGCCTGTCTGTGAATATCAATCAAATTATTTGATTAATATTCACATAAAAATTGTTAGCTATATACAGGGCAGCAAATGGGTGGGGGGTAAACCTATCATGCATCATGCTGATTTATTTTTAAGCTATCACGCACCACAGAAAAGTAAATAGAGGATATTACATGGCCGTGCAGCGATAAATAAATTTCTCTTTGAGTGGTGAATAGTACTTTTCAACTAGAGAAGAGAAATTTTGTATCTCCAAGCGACATGTAATGTTCTATTTTTTATTACATAAACACCAATGAAATACCAAACCATTTCACTTCAATAGCTTTTGGCTGTGAAAGGTGCAATTTATTATGCAGCCATAGCAACGGTGATCTTTTCACATGTGAAGATAAGATGTTATTTTCACGTGTGAAGGTATCATGTTTTCGCGCAAAAGCCCACCTGGTATTTCATTGGTGTTTATATAATAAAATAAAACATTAACTACATTAACAAGTATTCTATTCCAAGGAAACTGGAGGTCAAGGAACGAGAAAAAAGTGCAACAAGTTGGTGTCATAATTATCTGTTGTTAATGTCTCTGCTTCTAGTTTCAAATGATATTAACCATCATGGAAATTTCAAAGGAAAATCACGCATCACACATTGTGAAAATAGTAAATCACGTATTACGCTATGCCCAACCACGCCTCACGTGTCTAATTTGCGCCTGCTTATGCATAATGCTGATAATTTGGGTCCCATCATGCGTCACAGAAAACCCCTTTGCCACCCTGTATATACACAAAGTAACATGCTATTTTACACACAGGTGTCCTATTGAAAGCGAACTACCCCTTTTAATGTGCTTATGGGAACTTGGAGAGTAGGCAAGAAATTAAAAATTCAGTAAGATTGAGTATGATCTTTTTGAGTGTGTGCTGCTTGATGCTGGGATACAGTTTCAAACCCAAATCTAATGGTTGTGCACTTGGTACAGAGGGTTCAAATATGACCATCGCTTTATCAAAATTATGAATGGATGTGTGCACTCAGAACAACATTGACTCGTCCAGAACATCAGACTTCTGTGACTTCAAAAGCTTTATGTGATTCAGGGAGATCCTCCTTTTCTCCTCCTAACTCAAGAATCAAAAGGAGTCTTTGCTCACAGGGTGCCTTATCAGGTGATTTACATTATATTTTGCACAAGGCAATTTGCACTTACATTCATTTGTGAAAAAATACATAAGTACTAGTCACTCCACGAGCTGTAGAGCCAAGACTCGACAAGCTACAGGTCTTTAGGCCACGTTTACACAGGAGGAGATTTTTCTGCATTCACAATGTATCTGGAACATTTTTGTACCTGATTTGTTTTGTCATTTTCCCACAGAGATAAATCCAAAATTAAAAAAAACCATCCCAGTTTGGTTGCATATCCAGGGATTTTGACTCCTGGGGCACGTTTCTCCAAGGTCCTGATAATTTTTTGGGCCCGAAATCAAATATCCAAATCAAAATAAAAAGAATAAGAGCACAGATCCTGGCTAGTAAAACACTCCATTTTGTTTTATTAATTGATATTAACTGATAGTTTTATCATGTTAGATGCAAAACTGTTGAAACTTCTATCTTGCACGTAAACAACAATAGCTTCATGGGCCCTTTCATCATCGGGACTTTTGAGACGGGCCTCAGATCTACAGTTCATACTTTGTATCTGAATGAATTTTATTGAATTTACGATGTGTTTAAATGCCAGGGGAGGGAGAGCACTTCCCCATTAATTGGGTCAGGGTTTGAAGGCCTCGTAAGCACATCACTACCCAAACTTTCCTTGAGTGTCCCCCCGGCCAGTATAAACGCCTAGCGATTTGAATAATCTAAAAATTTTATTGTTATACATCCAGAACATTTATAAATCCGGACCAATCTCCTTTACGAAAACCAGGCCTTATTTTTTTTATTTCGCTAAAATAAATGCTATCTGAATGTCTGTTTGACGTACCCAACACCAGGACCTTTTTGTTTTCGAAGGGTTTAAAATCCTTGTAGGAATGACTGTGAATCTTTATGCCAGCAAACTCGTCCTGGCCCCGAAACTTAGGATTTGGCCACGAAGGTTCTGAATGATGCCCGACACATAACATCACCGCATCATAAACTTCTACTTTGTCTTCTCCAGAATCCTTCCCGGACTTCCCGTTGAGTTCTTGAAAGACAATCTCCCATTTTCCGCTCTCTTCAAAATCAAAGGTTTTTCTAAGATCAACTACTTTCGTACGGAATCGAATGTGCTTGTAGAGATCAAACGCGTCAGCGTAAAGATGGAAGTATTGTATGATTTTATCATGGCGCATATACGGAGGATACTCCTTAGGTATTGGAAAATCTGAAAAGCACATCATCTCTTTGCTGGTGTTGATTACAGTTGATCTGTAAACAGAGCTATGGCGCTCTTCTTCTGTAAAATACCACAGTCCCCCAATGGAATCCTCTTGTTCAAAGCACACTGGCTCCAAACCTTCATCTTTGCAAGATTTTATGCAGGTTAGGCCGCTTGCTCCAGCGCCAATGATTGCAACTTTCATTTTTCCCGGCCGGCAGAGTCCCCTGTCTTATGTTTGATCAAGACTCACTGCGGACGTGGTGCTCTTTGCACCACGGAGGATAAAGGTGGGTCAGGGCGGATGACGGTTGGGCGGTGAAACGAGCGCGTCCGAGCAAAAAGGTGTGATGCAGTGGACTGGTACTCTGCTTAGAAAGGTCGCTTGTTTATTCGCTGTCTTATTCGCTTGTTTTCGACTTCGGTCAGGGCTGGGGGTCAGGGTCAAGGTCAGGGCTTGCGATGTGGTTTGTCCATTAGACACTGCTGCTGTCACTGAATTTTGGCGGCTTAATTTGTTTTCTTGCACTTCTTCCTCGTTCTTTTGTGTTGGTACGCTGTCTTCGAGAGGCAAATTATTTATTTTTATTTTTATTTTTTTTTTGCGGGAGGTTTAGTTTGCCTGCGCGCAGACGTCTCCTATTTCCTTTGTCCGCGTGCAACAAAGGAAATAGGAGACGTCTGCGCGCAGGCAAGGTTTTGTTGGAATAGTAGACAAACATCTCTTTCAAAGGGTTTCTCTCTTATTACTTCCATGACTCTACCACTGAATTATATTTTCGTTCTACTACTCCCCTACTTTACCCGCCCTGCTTTGAACAATTATTGCTTTGAACTGGAAAATCTGATTGTCACGCAGACTATTGCGTTACACAATATGGCGGATGAAGGCAACGAAATGAGCGCCAGCTGTTCCAACACATTTATCCTTGGAATCGAACTTATTGAGTAACAACACTAGAGAAGTTATTGAGAGCGTTAGAAGGGAAACAAATGCAAATATTTCAGACAAGAACACGTCATTTGTAGAACAAGGTGTAAGAAAAATCCTGTCTGTTTTACAACATGCTCTTGGTCAACCGTCACCACAACTCCTTGCCAGAGTAAACAGAATTGGGATATGCGGACAAATGCATGGCTGCGTTTTGTGGAAACGAGGATATTGCATGGCCAAGTCTTGGAATACTAGCAAAAACAAATATGTTTCTAATGTTATAACTTGGGAAGACAGAAGATGTACTAATGAATTTTTGGCTACTCTTCACCTTACTCAGACAGACGTCGCTATTTCTACGGGCTTTGGATGTGCTAGTCTTTTCTGGCTTCAAAGAAACTATCCAAGTCTTCTAGAACGTTATGACTGTGAGGAACGATCATGGATTTTATTGTGTGGTTGTTGTGTCAATTGGAAGAGCCTTGTATGTCTTCTCAGAATGCTGTCAGCTGGGGTTATTTTGATGTTGAGAACATGAGGTGGGAGTTGGACCTGTAAGTCTTACTAGGGCTAAAATAATAACCATTTCAGGCTGTGTAATAAATACTTTATAATATAGTTAAACCTCACCACTCCCAAGTACCAAGATTTGATTGGCCCCAACCAACCAGAGAGAACCCTTTGAACATGGTTAGGTGTGCCAAAATGAGAGGTATAGATTGGTAAATTCGAAACCTTGCAAGTCTGTGATGTGGGACCCTGGTTTCAAAATTTGAGACCAAGACTTCAGCATTTTTATCACTTCTGCGCCTGAGACTATACTTCTAAAAATTCTGCCCCAAAGACTCTAAGCACAGAAAATTTCGAGTTTACAGTACACATAAAACTAAATAAAATGACTGAAAGCTAGCAGAAGCTCACCAGTCTACTAATTTTTCTTGTTTCACTGTCTTAATCTACAAGTTCAGTTCGATAAGCTATATCGAATTCCATAAACTCTGGAAAGTCCTGAAGGAAGGACAAACAGAAAGAAAAAACGACAAATCAGCAATTCCGAGACCCGTCAGCAAAAAAATTGAGACTACAAGATGCAAAAAAATCACCTGAAACAAGACTTTGAGAGCTATCAAAAATGCGTCCGAGATTTTTAGAGACCCACATTTTTTTGACATGCACTGTACCATTCTATACCCCTTTGGAGGTTGTCTTTCATAAGGGGTTTCAACTTTGGGGTGAGCACTTTTGTGAGGTTTTAGTTGAGGTTTGCTGCCACAGACCTGCCAACCCTAGCCTGTGAACAGCAGACGTATGTTTGGTCGTCGCTTCTCTCCCTGTGTTATTTTTCAGACTGGAAATACATCTGCTGTTCGCAGGCTATGCCAACCCTTGCTAAAGGAAAATCTGGAAGTTTTACAAAACGTTGTGAGATTCTTCTTTTATTGAAACTCCTTGTCACCACAACACTAACTCCACATATTTTTCATCACTTCCCACCCCACCCATACTAATTGTGTAGATAATAACCTATAATCAAGCTGTCATTTTGTACTGTCTAACAGCTTGAAGAGTGCAAACTTTCCTACCTATCTCCTGCCAGTAGTAGCTGAATAATCAGCTGTAGCTGGTAAACTTCAACAGCCATTTTTTGGCATTCGTTCTGGAATTTCAGTCGGGCTGGCTCTGGGAGACTTTCATTGTGCAGTGCTCTCCACGATTTCTTCAGAAACTGGTGCAGGTACACTGTACTTTAGCACCTGATGAAATTTCAGTCAGACATTTCTATAATTCAGCTGAATTTCCCATTTGTACATCAACATTGTGCTTCTTTGTTTTCTCTTATGAGACTCAGCTTACATTGACCTTTCAGTTCTGAATGTCAGCACTTCTAGTCAACTAGCAGTGGTTGTACCTGATGACAGTGGCAATATTTTCACCGGTGAACTGCCAAGTAAGGCTGTGAAATGCCTTCCATTCTTTCAAGGAAAGAAGGTCATGACTGCAGCATCACTATCAGGTTCTTTATCTATTGAATTTTTGTTTGCAAATTTGCCAAACTTGGAGTGTTATAAGCACAGGACAGACACAAGCTAAGGGGAACTTACTACTTTACACTGGAAAATTGAAAATTTGCCAAAATGCAACCATAGGACACAAGGGGAGCCTATTTACGAGAGGAAAATGAAAATTCCCTTTCATCCTAAAACCAAATTATTTTGGGTTCAGTTGTCACTTAATGGAAATTACCGGAGGACATCCTAAGGTGTTTTCATTCAAATGAAACCCCTTTTACATAACGTTTGCATAGTGCAAATTATTTCTTTGGATGTAGCAATTTAATGAATTCTTTACATATACTAGGGCACTATTACATGTAGGACTGAAAAGGTCGAATATAAGTCCATGAAAAGTGGAAGGTAAAAGAGTTTTGTTTATTCCAAGGTGGTAATTAATGTTTTGGCTACATATGTTCAAATGTTAACATCATGGATGTGGGATCTTTGTTTGAATGATCACCTTCCAGCCACTGATGAAATTTATCAGAGGATTCTTGATTGTGCTAAGAAGAAGAGTTTATTATCTCTGAAAATTACTTCAATGCTATGGAGTGAGCGACACATGCCAGATAGGAGGGCTGAAGTAAGCAATCTCTCATCAGACAATACATGTATTTCACTGGGTGATGTGGGACTCTCACTTTGTTGTGGACTTGTGGAAAATTTAAATGAAATGATGCCCAAAGAATTCCTTAACCTGCATGGTGTGCAAAGGATTGTGGGTGCTAGCAGTGCTCTGATAAGAAATCAGGTTCTTTAAAAACAAGTGAACAGGTTTTTGGGTTTCCTCTTGTGATGAGCGACAACTCAGAAGGCTCTGTTGGTGCTGCAATGGCAAGATGCATATTACCAATAAAAAGTGTAAAAGAAAATGACTGAACAATGGCAGGAACCACCTCTAAGTGTTCATTTTAGAAGTGTTTGCAAGAAGTTGACTGCACAATGAAGCTTGTGGGAATAACAGTAAATGAGCTGCACATTCTGAGTGGCTGCTCCAATAATTTGTTCTACTCACTGGAAAATGATTTAATGGAGCCAAAACTAATAATTTTATTATGGAATTAGTTGCCTAGGCATCCTGTTGATGAACAATTTAAATACTTTATTAATTTAAATTGCAGAAGCTATCCTTAGAAAAATATTTGCTTGTGAATAGATGCTCTCATGTTAGCATTAACTTGAAGCTACAATTTGTAACATTAGAACTTTGCTCAATTGGAGTACTAATGTTGACATGCTGTGCTCGACATTCTTTTCCCTCTTCCTTTCAATGTTGGCCCCAAAAAACTATGACTAAACAACATTGGAAGGGAGAAAGAGCAGTGTGATCCAAGATAGGTGTCCTTGATTGCTGTTACATACTATTAAAATAAATGTTGTAAACACCTGTTTTGAAATTCACTAATATGATATATTATTAATCATAACTATAACAAAATTCTTAAATCTGATTGGCTTTCAGCTGTCCTGATTTCAGCACTAATAGGACAATAGGACAGAACGCGTCATGCCTATGTAATTGGATAGTATGTGCCAATCATGTGCACACTTAAATGGCCTTTTTTTCCTGCTAGCAAGAAAACTCTTTGAATTTCTTGTTTTTTTTATTTTCAAGAGGGCTAAAACATCACAAACTTTGTTATAGTTATGATTAATTGGTAACAGAACTTCGTGTCGTCCAATTCGGTCTGTAATCATACTCGTGATAAAACAAATTGGACTCCTGCTACACAGTCATCCGATTTTGTTAATCACTCATATGATTACAGACCGAATTGGACTCCACTCATTATTTATTTTTTGATGCTATCTTTTTGCTTGCATAGCAGTAATCACTTGTCTGTATGCCTCATATATGATTACAGTGCCAGCCATTGCTGCACTTAAACTGTCCAGTTTGCTCACCATTGGCACATGAACAATGCGTCCTTTGTTTTCATGAGCTAATTTCTTTACAGTCTTTCCAAGACCTGTGGTCTCCCCTCCAATGACAAGAACACTGGGGCGCAGAGTCCAGTCCACTTGATAGTAGTCAGAAAATGGCATGTTCAACCCATCTGGTGAGGAACAGTAAATGGAAAGTTTTGTAAGTAACTTAAATAAAGAGATAAAAAAGAATGGAATTACAAATCTGCCATGCTGCTGTCAATATGCACACCATAAATGCTCAAATTGGTGTAATTAACAGATTTAGGGCCTGTTTACATGGAGGTGGGGGACCCCAGATAGGGGGGGTAACTTGTGGTAGGTCACCCCACCTATCATGTAAATGTGATCAAATTAAAATGAGAGATTATATTGAAAGGTAGGTTACCTAACTGGGTTACCTCTCCTACCTGGGGTCCACCACCTTCAGGTAAATAAATAGACCGTTAACTAGCAAGTCGGACAGTTTCACATGCAATAATAATGTAACTTTTGATGATACCTTCTGTTTTAGCGTGGAAATAACTCATTCTTGCTCAGTCACCCTCCCACCCAAAATATTGTGTGAGTCATAATAATAAGTATATAACTACCCCTAAGTTGGCTAAGTCTGCTGGTCAATCAGGTTCCCCATACATGTACTATAATACAACTGAGCAAGAATATGAATGTTGTCGAGTAAACTTTTCTAGTGACGTTAAATCACCTCTTTGAATTTGTGCCAGCCACCACCACCACCACCCCCCTCTTTTGGCTCTATTTTCCTTTAGTTGTCTCTGAAAGTAATGATGTGGAACTACAAAGCATCAATTTTATACATACCACCATGAATATTGCTATCTGCCAGAAAAATCCTCTTTTTATCCACAAGCTTCTGAATCCCTTCCCAGTCCAGATTATAGTAAATTGGAACATGAAAATGTCCACCAGCAGCACATCGCAGGACCTTTGGATCCCAGACATCTGCACAGCCATTGGAGGTTATGAACGACTCACATCCTGCTGCGGCACATACACGAACTAAAGTACCTACCAAACAAAAGGCCAAAATGATTGGCATTTATATACAGTAGTCAAAGCTCTCCTAAGTGACCACCTTGGAATCCATAATGGTGTGAATGCAGCTCTGTAAGCAACCAGGCCCCAGTTGTTTAAAAGTTTGGCAGCACTATCCAGTGGATAGGTATTAAGGAAACCAAATAGCATTATCCAGTGGATAGTGATTTATCCAGTGGATGGCATTATTACACCCCACTAAAATGGGCACCTAGGGTTGATACCTACCTTTCTGTATCCTACTTAATATGACGGACATCTCTCTAAGATGGACACACAGTGCTAGTCCCTGCAAAGGTGTCTATTTTTAAGGGAGTTGACTGTTAAGTGTAGTAAGAAAAATCTCTCAGTAATATAAATATACATTATATATAAAGTACACACCCACCCACTAAATGAAAAATTTATCTTTGATCAATTTTCTAGTGGTCCTATTGCTTTTAAAAATAGCTAATAAGAACATACCTACATTTGTTGGGTCTCTCAGGCCATCACACAACACTGTCAGAGGGATTGGATATGGTTGACTATTCTCCTGCGTTGTTCCCCCTTCTCCTTGTCTTGGACGCTTAAACATTCCAACTATACCAGGTGGTGTGACTGTATTTGAAATCTCTTCCATTGCACTTTTGCTAACTTGAGCAAGACAGTTCTTTGGTAATTTGAACCCTGTTATTTGATCCAAAAGTCCTGAATCGCTGTAAAATATTGCTACTGGCTTAGCTTTTGCCATTAAAGCTTCAGTGATAAGACGCCATCCCTCCAGGATGATACGATTATGTCTTTCACGATGTTTCTTGTTGTTCAGTGATGCTGCCATTCTGTGTATAAGAATCAGGCTTCAGTTGTTCGAACGTTGGATAGCGCTATCCACCAGATAAATCACTATCCAGTGGATAGCTTAATCGGTTTCCCTAAGGGGGGGTGTTTACATGACACCAGGGCGACTTTCGTGCCGGAGTGAGTTTACTCTGGTTCCCTCTCATGGCTCTACATTTGTTTATGTGATATCACCACAAAATGTCGTGCCGGAGCAAGTCACCCTGGGGTGAGTTCACCCCAGGTGTTGTACTGGGGCAAGAATTTCACTCCGGTATGAAATCTCACAACGGTATCATGTAAACACGAAACAACCACATGTTTCAGTGTGAAATCGGTCTGCTGGTTCGTAATGTTTGCGATTTTGAATCTTACCTGTATTTTATCAGCATGAAGTGTACTTTCAAATAATGGGATATGAAATGACCGAGTCATAATGTAAACACGATACGAAATAAAAAATTCATCCCGGTATGAAACTCGCGCCGGTGCGAGGTTCCTCATGTAATGCACCTATCAATGTAAATCCTGTGGGGGGGGAGTGCGGGCAAGGGGAGGGGATTTGATGCCTGGGACTATCCCCGCTATCGGGCTTTTGATCGTGCGAAGCGACCCCGGGGTCGGGACATTTAACTTTGACCGACAAAAGCCTGGTATCAATTCAGAAACAGTTACCAAGTCCGTCCCTCAAGGCTTCCTGAAAGTCACGCTGTTGGAGAAAGGTATGAAGTTTTCATTTGTTTTAATCGCCATAATCTGATACTTTAAACTGTCATCTAAACAGATAATGTCTATTTTGAGAAAGTTTTTATCTTCAAGTTCCCGTCTGATTGTAAAACTCGATTGAAATCGAATTCCACCATGAAAGTCAGAGGATTTTTTATGGGTCACTGATCCGACCTGTTCCAACATGTTGAGCAGATGTTATAAAGCATTTTAAGTTTTATTAATATTATATAGCACGGTCAATCTTCCTGGAGTGATTTTGTTGTTCAAGATAAGAGATGCTAGTGGAGAGAGAAAATACTTAATTACAACGAGTAATTTAATGGAGCTTCCATTAACCGTAAATAAAAGTAGTAACAACATGTTTGAAATGTTCTTTTATTCGTTTTATATAGTATTATAGCATTGTTTGTTTAGATTTTTTCTCCTGGGGTGGGGGCTTTTTTGACACTTTTGATTGACCTTTCGTTTCCCACCCTGGGGAATTTGATCGAAAAATTTTAAAATTTGTCAAATCCCCACCCCTTGCCCGCACTCCCCCCCCACGGGGTCTACATTGATAGGTGCATAAACACTCCCTAATACTTATCCGCTGGGTAGTGATTTATTCGGTGGATAGCGCTATCCAACGTTGAACAACCAGGGCCAGAACAGTAAGTTTTGGACCCAAGGGGGTACTCTGGATTTCTAGTGACAAGGATGATCAAATGGGCAAAAAAATTAAACCTCAAAACATCCCCAGGGCTTCCAACAAAACCCAAAATAAAACCCTGGATTAGAAGTTAACCCTCAAAAAATCCCACGCCAAATTTCCGTGCCTTCAAATTTTCCTACCAAAAAAAATTCAGAAACGAAAATTTCAAACCCAAAAAATCCTCAATATCTCTGTCACTTGAGATCTGTTCCCCCCCTCCCCCGCTGGGGTTTTTGGATCCAGATGTATAGCTGCATGTTCATTTAACCAAGTCAAGCCCAAGGTTTTGGGGGGGTGGGGGGAACAGTATTGAAGGAGCTTGTTGTCAAAACATGTAGTCCCTAGAAAAATAACTTAAGTTTTGTACTTGATGTATAATTTGCAACATTTCAAGGTCAAATGAAAACCACTCTACATAATACTGCAACAAGTTAAACGACAGGAATTACAATTTTGCCACCAAAAGGATAAAATTAGAGTTTCTAATTCAGTTTGTCCAGATTGACTTATCCATGAGATGGCTAGAGAACTATATAGTA